CCCCCCCACAACCGCCCAACGGAATTTTGGACCCTTAATTCAGTAAGATTTAAAAATATTCTTTGGTATTTCATGCGTTGAAAAGTTTCCTGTGTATTTACAAAAAAATAAAGAATTATACATCAATAATTTGATCGAACTGAAATTCAACCCAGTTTATACCATTAACATTATTATTATCTGCAGGGGGGAAATAGCTAAACATGATAGCGGCCATATAAACTTCTGCCGTCTTCCACGAAATACAGCGATCCTTTAGTATGTAACAGTTTGCTGCAAATTTTGAAATTTTCTGAATCCTATGAATTTCTGGCCTTGCGATCGCTTTTTGGAGCCCCTTGCCCAAAGAAGGAACAAAAAATTTTGTGTTTGCGGGCCTGCTTTTGGAGCCTCGCCTTTTTAAACTTTGGGGCCTCCCGGTTTTTATAGTTTGGGGTTTCGCTTTTGGGGGCCTTGGACTCTTTAGGGCCCCGCGCTGTTCGGATCCCGCGCCAAAACAGGGAACAAAAAATCGTTTGGGGCCTTTTAAATTTGGGGGCCTATAACGTTTTTTGGGGACCTTGCGCTCTTTGGGGCCCCGCGCTGAAACACTAAAACAGGGAACAAAAAGAAAACGTTTGGGGTTGATTGTTTGGGACCTCGAGTTTTCTGGGGGACTTGGACTCTTTGGGGCCCCGCTCGGGCGCACTATTTGGGCCCCGCGCTGAAACAGAAAACAAAAAATTCAGAAACAAAAATAGAAGAGAGAAGCGCGGGGCCCCCAAAAGCGCGGGGCCCGTGGCATATGCCGCTTCTGCCATATGGTTAATCCGGCACTGGGCATAGCATTGGGCTAGTATTCCAAAGGTCGTAGGTTCGATTCCCAACGTGGCCAGGCATATTATTCAAGCCTGGCCGCTGTGGATATATACTCAGAGTAACATCACAACCATCATATTTACCTGAGTACCAACACAGAAAAGAAATCATGATTATTAGATTACATTGATATCGAAGGGACTAGATTCTGTTCCGAAATATCACATACTCGAACCGACCAGACCACGTAGCTCAGTTGGCAGAGCATTGGGCTAGTATTCGAAAGGTCCTAGGTTCGATTCCCACCGTGGCCAGGCATATTATTCAAGCTTGCCCGGTGTGGATATACACTAAGAGTAGCATCACAAGCATCATATTCACCTGAGCACATTACACCAACACAGAAAATATATCATGATTATTAGATTACATTGATATCGAAGGAACTAGATTCTGTTCCGAAATATTTTGAAAAATCAATTACAAGTAACAACTATTACAAATGTTGACAAATAAGGCAGTATATCTGTATAAACTTGTTCTGTATGCATATGAATGCCAGGAGTTTGAAAAAGAATATCAACACGCAAGGAAACTTATTTATTTCTAACCTGAATAAGTTTCAAGAGATGGTATATTCGGAATCGGTTGATTTAATGTTTGTGACTGAAACCTGGCTCAACAGCAATGTTACAAGTAAAGAAATTTTACCTAATGGATACAATATATACAGATCAGACCGGTCGCTGGGACGAACTGGAGGAGGAACACTGATAGCTATCAAACATGGTATTTTCATCAGCTGCAGTCAGATTACTTCCATTGCTACTACGAATTTGGAGGCAGTTGCTATTCAATGTACCCTACCCAACCACGCAAAATGGCTTCTTGTGTGCTGTTATAGACCACCTGATAGTAACGATATGTCTGATCTTAGATCCTTTGCCGATAACCTATTTCCTAGTTACGACAAGATTATTATTGCCGGGGATTTTAACCTCCCAAATATCTCTTGGACAGATGGTAACTATACATCGTTTGGTTCATTGAGTCAGAATTTCTGCGATATTTTGGACGATTACTTCATGTCCCAACTTTGCCTTACGCCTACGAAAACTTTGACGGCCTACGAAAACGTTTAATAGACATAGACATTTGTTCTCTTGTAACAAGTAATGGAACGGAATCTAGTGTTGATGATGACTGGTCAACTTGGAAGGACGCCGTGATGTCTGCTGTGCATGAATTTTTCCCTTCCAAATGTGTGGACCCTCGTCGCTCACCACCTTGGATAACACCTACCATCTTACATCAGATTCGTAAAAAGGTTACTGCCCGTAAGAGATTCCTTAGCCGTGGAACTGATTATCTTAAGGCGAAGTTTAACAAACTGAGAGCTGAAGTCAAAAAAATGATTCAAAATAGCAGAGAGTCATTTTTCTCGTTATTAGGAAACACTATACAAATCAACCCAAAACGTTTTTAGTCGGTTTTCAAAATCAAGTCAAGTTCTGAAAATATACCCAACTCCGTCACAAGGTCGGATACCAACAATCCTGGGACTAGATTACATGCTAACACACCACACGACATTGCAACAATGTTTAACGAGTACTTTCATTCTGTCTACACATGTTTCTCTGACCAACCCTCGCCATCTCAATCTGGTTCATCATCTCCTTTATCCAGCATCTCATCCATTGACCTCTCTCTAGAAGAAGTATATCAATCCTTACTGAACTTAGATCCTTCTAAGGCTCATGGTCCTGACGGGTTTTCTTCCCGCATTTTAAAGGAATGTGCCCTCCAATTAGCACCTTCACTTCATTACTTGTTTTCAAAGTCACTCCGCTTATCGCAGGTTCCCACCGAATGGAAATTAGCTAACATAATTCCTCTACTCAAGAAAGGAAACAAAGATCACGTTGAAAACTACCGTCCCATTTCTCTGTTGTGTATCACAAGCAAGACTCTTGAACGTTGTGTCCTCAACCATTTATCGCACCGTATACAGTCCAACATTCATTCGGCGCAGTATGGTTTCGTCAACGGAAGATCAAGCACAGCTCAGTTATTGTCAATTCTAAACACTATTGGGAAAACTTGGATCAGGGTTTACAAACTGATGTTGTTTTCATGGATATTTGTAAGGCCTTCGATAGCGTTGACCATTCCATACTTTTACAAAAACTTCACGATTTCGGCTTCTCTGGTTCTCTCTTGCTATGGTTTCAAAACTATTTATCAGGTCGCTTCCAACGGGTAACTGTACACGGCGCTACGTCTACGTCTCTGCCAATCACATCTGGAGTCCCACAAGGATCGTTGCTGGGTCCCTTTCTCTTCTCAGTGTACATCAATGACTTACCTAACAACATATCCACTTCCACTGGGGTCGGTTTGTTTGCTGACGATACCAAACTTTACAGATGTGTGCAGAATCCCTGTGATGCATTGGTCTTGCAAGATGATATTCAAGGCCTACTTTGTTGGTCGATAGAAAACCGGCTACGCTTTAACCAATCTAAGTGTAAAGTGCTGTCAATAACCAGAAAGAAATCGCCTTTAATATATCCCTATAAGCTTGACAATGATCAGTTGTTGGTTTCCAACGCACAGGTTGATCTGGGTATCACCATTAGTCCTAAGCTATTATGGAACGATCAAGTAAATAAAGTACGGTCGAAAGCCAACCAAATGCTCGGGCTAATTAGACGATCTACCGCGGAGATGACTGTTATCAACGCGAGGAGGCTTCTGTATCTACAACTCGTACGCAGCAATTTTGGTTATGCATCCCAAGTATGGTGCCCACAATCCATTAAGTTAATCGACGACATCGAGAAGGTGCAGAGAAGAGCAACGAAATACATCTTAAATCTTGGGTTTACCACCGATGTCTCGTACATAACCAGATTACATCAACTGGAGTTACTACCAATAACTTATTGGCATGAATATTTGGACATGGTTTTACTCTATAAGTTAATTAACAACTATACCTATATTGATGAGAGTGCTCTACCAATAATAGCTGAATCAGGAATAACCAGACGTGAAACCAACGAAAACGTAATTAGATTTGTAATACCCTTTGCTAAAACTGTAACATACCAGTCTTCATATCTTATTAGAGCGTGTAAAACGTGGAACGTTTTAAATAGTGACCTACGTAATAGAGATATTGGCCTGCAAGCTTTCAAATCTGGACTAAAGACGTACTACAAATACGCGCTATCTAATATTTATAACTATGACGATCCGCGAACTTGGAAATCTGTGTGCGTTAAATGTAAAAGGGCTAGGTCCCTTGATGATGTTTTAAGTTGTTGTTAGTTGTCTCTTGCACCGATTGTATTTTGTCTTAAATTAGTTCGTTTCGACTGTTAAAATTATTGTAAACGTAAAGTTAATTATGGGGTCGCCGTAATTGGGGAAACCTGTGGCGAACTCCCTGGCGTTATATTAGCCGAATCTCATTAAATCATTAAATCATTAAATCATTAAATCATAAATCTTTTAAAAATATATTATAAAT